ACTGGCAGAAGGACGCCTACCACAAGCAGATCATGGGAGGCTTCAAGGAGGCCAAGGAGGCGGATGACGGCTTCCGAAAAGCCCAGAAGCCCTGGGCCAAGAAGCTCAAGGAGGTGAGAGGAGAAGCACAGCGTGTCCTGCGACACCCATGCCGTGCCCCAGCTCTGGGTGCTCAGTCCAGGCTGGCAGATCCGGGTGGCACCTCCCTGCAGGCAGAGGGGTGGGCAGGGGGCTGTGACTGCTGCTCTGATGTCCCTTCTCTCTCCTCTCTACAGCTGGAGACAGCCAAGAAAGCCTACCACCTGGCCTGCAAGGAGGAGAAGCTGGCAATGACCCGAGAAGCCAACAGCAAGGCGGACCAGTCCAACACCCCCGAGCAGCAGAAGAAGCTCCAGGACAAAGTGGAAAAGTGCAAGCAAGATGTGCAAAAGGTACGAGGTGCTACCTTGCTTTGAACTCACAAGGCATCATGAAGGGGAAGGAAAACAAGTAAAAACGGCCACCACACTCCTTTTCCCCCCTTTCATTTGCATTTTCCCATCCCTGTGCTCCTGTAGAAGGGCAAGGACTTGCAAGCAGTGCTCAGAGGAGTGTGACTGGGGCAGAGATTTACCCCTTTTACTGGGGCAAAATCTCTCCAGCAACCAGACTGATTTCACCCACGGGGGTTCTTGGCCCAATCTGGGCTCTCCAACATGTTCACCCACCAACCAGACCCTCTCAGCACCCTGAAAGGGCCTCTGAAGTACTGGAGGTCTAATCAAGGTACCTTCCTGCACCTTTGCAGACTCAGGAGAAGTACGAGAAGGTGCTGGACGAGCTGAACAAGTGTACCCCGCAGTACATCGAGAGCATGGAACAGGTCTTCGAGCAGTGCCAGCAGTTTGAGGAGAAGAGGCTCAACTTCCTCAAGGAAGTGCTCCTGGACATCAAGAGGCACCTGAACCTGGCCGAGAGCAGCAGGTAAGTGCCTCCTGCCTGGGTAGAAGTGCCCATGCAAGCTCTCCTCATGCTGCCTGGAAAGCAAACCATGCTCTGGAGGGACCAAGTGCTTCCAGGACAACCCATCCCTTGCAACACAAGGGAGAGGGCTTTCTGGCCAACGCATGGTCACTAAGAGGCACCTGAGGGACACAGGGCTGTGCGGGAGCCTGCCCACTTCCCCAGAGCCTTGTAGGAGGTGACACAACCTGGACGTGTCCCTGTCCCACCCCTGGAGCACCCCAACCCCGCGTCTCTCCCCGCAGCTACGCCAACGTGTACCGGGAGCTGGAGCAGACCATCCGCCTCTCGGACGCGCAGGAGGATCTCCGGTGGTTCCGAAGCACCAGTGGCCCTGGGATGCCGATGAACTGGCCCCAGTTTGAGGTGAGGCTGGGCACCCTGGCTGGGGCACGGGAATCCAGACGGGGCGGCTGAACACTCAGGGGCTGGTTGCTCCATGCTTGCAGGAGTGGAACCCGGACTTGACGCACACGATAACGCGGAAAGACAAGCAGAAGAAGGGCGAGGGGGTGACCCTGACCAACGCCAGCAGCACGGGCGAGACGGGGGCATCGGCGGGCGAGCGCGGGAGGTGAGATCCCCTGAGAAAGGCGTTTGTCTGTGCAGACGTTTCCGGTGCTGTGGGGACACACAAGGGGACGCAGGGTGTCCTTGGTGACAGCCTCCGCCCTTCCCTGTCCTTCCTCCATGGACACGTTGTTAGCAGGGGGTCCTACTCACTGCAGCTCCCCCTCCCTGTATCCTTGAAAATGAGATGTGGAAGGCACATGGTGCCTGCCCACCCTGCTCTGACGACCCTTCTCCCTCCTCCCCCCTGACCCCAGCGTGAGCAGCCACGACCGCGGGCAGACCTACAGCGCCGAGTGGTCCGATGACGAAGGCAGCAACTCCTTCAACACCAGCGAGGCCAACGGTGGCACCAACCCTTTTGACGAGGAGTCAGCAGGGAAGGGCGTGCGGGTGCGGGCTCTCTACGACTACGATGGGCAGGAGCAGGATGAGCTCAGCTTCAAAGCAGGTAAGGTCCAGCACTGTGCTTGGCTGCCGGAGCCGCGCGTCCCCCGCGTTGATGTGAAATCCGTCAAATAATTCCTGTGTTATCCCAGCCCTTCAAAAAATTGAACTGACAGAAAGGGGAAGGCACAAACTGTGCCCAAACCCGGGTGGGACCAGAGAGGTGGTGGGACAGGGCACGTGAGGCTTCATGGGTCACCCCTTGTCTTTCTATCCTGCAAACTGACGTGCTCAGGATCAGTCCCAGAAACCCCCAGCAGCTCCATCCAGGGGAGAAACAGGGCAGTAGAAGCTCCAACGCCTACAACGAGCTGTTCCCTTTCCACCTTTCTGTCCAGGTGATGAACTAACCAAACTCGGTGAAGAAGACGAGCAAGGGTGGTGCAAAGGGCGCTTGGACAACGGGCAGCTAGGTCTCTACCCTGCCAACTACGTGGAGGCAATCTAAGTCTTGTGGTGTGCTCCTCATCGCCGTCAGCAGATAAATCCACCCTCCGTTGTCTCCATCTCTCCACCAGCCAACCAGCCATTTTGCCGTCTGGTCCTTCACTCCTCACAGTTAGAGATTCAGACATATTTTCCGACCAAGCTTTTATTTTTTTAAGAGTTGTCTCCGAAAAGTATTTTGCATAGTCGCTTTCTTCTTCTTCTTCTTCTTCTAAGATAACGTGAAGCGAAAGATGACGTTGTCCGTTCGTCTACGTTAGTTGATTTTTTCCGAGCGAAAAGCTGATACCTCAAGATCTTAAAGCCCAACCAGTGAGAGCTCCTGATTGGTTGGTTTTTAAAGATACTGAAATCATGAGCCGCCTTCTGATTGGCTGGAACTGTTCTGAAATGCATGGCGCTGAAGCTCCTGGGTCCAATCAGATTCACCCCCAAAACTGAGAGGGAATGGAGTTTGACTCCATTTTTTGAGATGTTTCCCTCTTCTCCTCCCCAGTTCATCCTCCCTTCCTGAAAGGAGGGGACAAACGTCCCCTCCTGTCCCACAGCAACCCAGCCCCATGGCCAGGGCTGGTGGTAGAGATGCCCAGGTGAGGTGGGACCAGCCCTGCCATGGAGCTTGGTGGCATCTCCTCAGCTTCCTCCTCCTCCTCCTCCTTGTGGCTGGGCTGCCAACGTGTCTGGAGCAGGTGAAGGCTCCAGAGCCGATGCCCCGTGTGTGCTGCAGGGAGCAGCATCACCCTTCGCCAGGGCAGCCATCCAGTCACACCAGGCCCAGGGTGAGATGACCCTAAAATGCTGTCCAGAGAAGGACTCAGTCCAGAGAGGGACCCACCACAGCCCGATGCTGCTGGAAGCACCTTCACACCCAGCCTGGGATAGCGGGGAGTGGCTTGGACGCAGCTGGGGATGCTCCCCATCCATCCCCCTTCCTGGAGAGAGGCAGAGCAGAGCAGGGATGGGGGACACACGACATCCAAGCCTTGCACGGTGCCAGCGGGAGCTGCAGCCAGCTGGAGGATGAGGAGGGCTCGGCACGGGCAGCGAAGCAGCTGCCTGGTGAAGACAGACGAAACCAGGACACACCAAAGCAGGGAAGTGGCTGTGGGTTTGCCCTTTTTCTTTCCCTCCACAGGCTCTCCCCATCCCACACCTGGGCTCTGCAACCAGCAGAGCAACCTTGCAACCCAGCATGGTCGCCACAACCCCTCTGCCCCAGGCACATTTGCCATCCCAAGCTCTTCCCTACATGTTTTTTTTTTTTCATACCATCACCTTCAGCAGCATCCGCACCGTCATCTT